GATGATCCTCAAACAGATAAGGATGGAGAGTTGCCTCAATGTCAACATCACTTGGAATACAGGATTTGTTAGATTCATGCATCATAACAATACATCTGTGGTAAGGAATCTTCTTGTCAATGTACCCATTAATGGTAATGTTGCTGTTTGGAGGAATGATCACTCTGGATGTCTCTGCACTTTTCACTAAGCCTAGTGAATACCCATTCCTACTTAATTCCTTCTCTCTAATAGCAATACAGCGGAAGGCTAAGTACCAGGGTGTCGTTAAAGCTGCTTCTTGAAGAAATCTGGATCCATATTCCTCCTTTGTGACATCTATAAGACTCTGGATTATGTTGGTTCCAATAAGCACAGGAACATGCATATTGTAGTTGCTATTTGGAACAACAAGGAATAAACAATCCTGGAGTCTGTCCAATGTTGGAATACCAAATGGTGTTAAGTTGACACACACATAACCACTATATGGCATCAGTTGTCCATCAGCACATTCTATATTAATAGCCTCTTCAATGGGATGTAACTCTACATCTTGAAGGTATTGATCATAAAATGACTGGCTTATGGTAGATACAGTAGCACCAGTATCTAGAAGAGCGGTACAATGAATGTCGTTGATGGCAACTGTAATCTCATTTGGTTTTCCTATAATTTCCGTTCTGGAACTCTTGGTCCTCGAGCCAACTCCTCGTCCCCAGGGGTTGACTTGTTGTAGTTTAAAGTCTGGCGTCTGTGATCCACCATTACCCTGCATCCGATTGCAATGTGTCCAACTTGTCCACATCTATAGCAAGTAGGTGGTTCCTTCCTCCTATATCTCTGAGGTTCCTGCACATCATCATGTGTGACCTGAGGCGGAGGTATCCTAGGATTCTGTTTGTATCCTCCTCTATAAACTCTATCTTGTCTACCTCTTTGATAGGATGGTCTAGGTGCACTGAATGTTTGTGGTAATCGTCTGTTGTAAGTGTACTGACGATCCTTAAATCCTCGCATTGCAGTGGTCAGTTGATTAATCTTTGCCTCAAGATCATCGAGTCTATCAGTAGAGTGTTCAGCAGGTGTTGCAGCTTTTGCAGTCGCTGATTTCTTCTCTTTGATTTGAGGTTGATGCTCCATCTCTACTTTCCTCACTGCTGATCTGAGCTCATCAAAGTTGAGAGTTTTGTCAAAGAGATGACCACAAATATCTTTCAGTGATGGCCTTAATCCTTTGAAGAACATTGTCCGTAGCATCTCATTGGACTGTGACTGTGCAATAAGTCCTTTCTGTATGGCTTTGCTTAAAATGTCCTCTAATCTGCAACTCCATCTTGCACATTCCTCATCATCTTTTTGTCTAGCACTATAGAACTCGGACAGTATGTCCTCTTTCTCAGCTACAGTACCATAGATGCTATCTAGTTTCTTGATGATACTTTGAGTAGATGCCCCTGGTCCAAGATGCACTATCACACGACTCACTTCTCCCTTCAACGAACGTCTAATGGCATGATGGATAGTGTCTGGATGATATGATTCATTGATGAGACATTCTACTTCATACTTCCAAACATCATAAGTAACATCACTCTTACTATCTCCTGAGAAAGTCGATATCCGTGGGAACGGAGTGTAAGGCATAGGTTTCCCAGAAGATGGTGGAGGTTGAGCTGTGTTACTGGAAGCTGTTGTGCTTGGAGATTCAGTTGTCTCTGTAGGTTCTTCCTTAATAAATGTAGAGGTCATCCAGTCTATGAAGTCCTGTGGAGTATCAGCCTTAGGCTTCAACTTCATTGCCCTCCAGGCAATAAGCATGTTCTTCACCTCCTCCTTTGTCATCGCAGCTTCTTCAGACATGATTGTTGAATAATTGTATGGTAACACAAATAATAGTACACAATATTTACAATGCTGCAGAATAATACACAATATTTAAAATAAAGCAACTGTTTGTACCTGTAATTTATCTCATGGTGACATAAAATTGCAAATAATTCCAGGAGGGTAGTTCAGAATGAACTAATAATCTTTGGGAAAGTATAAACAATGTCAAAATATAAATAGAAAATGAAAGTAGGATGCACTTCCGCTAAGTGTTGCACTTCCGGTCAATAAATGCACTCAAAATATTTTATCTTATGGCTGAAACACCAAATGCTATTTACAACCTGCAATAAAGATAACTTTTAACTCTTTGCACTGTAATAAGCAAGTTTGGTAAGCGTGAATCAATTCAAAAACAAATCAAAAGTATCAACGAATCAATACTGAAAACAAACAGATAATTTTGTCAATATCATATGAACTTACTTGTCGATCAAAATCAGCTGATTTTATGTTGAAGAAATGAAGTGCAAATAATCAAATAAACACAAGGTTTTAAGCAGAAATATTTACCTGAGACGTAGGAATCTTTGAGATAACAACACAAGAACACAAAAACTGAATGCAAAGATTGTTGTTAAAGTTTTAAAACAAAATTTAAGTGCTGAAAACAAAAAAATCAAGAATTACCGAATCACGTTTTGTAAACTTCCGGTTTATGAATGAAACGGATTTCGAGCTCGAACGGAATTCGCAAAACAAAACCGAACTCGACTGAAATGCGGATATGAAACCGAACCCGATCTAAATTGATACGAATGAAATTATACAAACTCTGCTGTAAAAAATAAATAATATGTACAATGCAAAGGTAATGGGATTTGGGTAATAGGGTGTTTGGGGTAAACTTCCAGACAATTACAAAATCACTGATAACACTGAAGCAACAATGACCTCACAAAATATCACGACAAACTCAGATCAACTGACTTGAATACGACCAATACAACTAGTAAATTCAACGGTTGCAGTCTTACTGTCTCGTCTGTAAAATGTCAGATGAAAGAAATAGCAATTAACCACTAATTCACACTGGGAATGGAATGAGGGAAATATGTGCACTGGTAATTACACAACTTACCCATGCTCTCACTCTCACTGTAGTTCTTCTTACATCTTAAAGTTCTAATACCAATATGTGCACAACAAAAAAAATACTAACAAACCCAGTTATGACGGACAGAACAGACAGACAATGATCAAGTTTGATCTATAAAAATATTACTAGCTAGCTAAATGTAGGCTATTCAAAAAAATTTACACCACTGATCGATCGTGAATATTAATTTCTTTACAAAGAAAAAAATATATATACAAAATCAACTCTAACGGTGCACCAAGTTAAATCTACAGTTTATAAACATGCATGTAACTCACCAGCTGGTAAAGATAAATATCACAGATTAAATTATTGCATGCAGTCTCAAATGCACTACACCGGTGTCACTGATGATCCTTCAGAATGTCACTTGTTAGGCACGGATCAAAGTTTGTAACTTGGGTGGATAAACACAGTCATCACAGGTAAGTTCATGCGTCACTGACGGCCTGACGATCTCCATGGACCCGTAAACGTACCACACACCATACACTCGTCTCCAGTCTGCACCCAAAGCCACTGTGCCCCACGTAGGGCGCCAAAATGTAACAGGGGTATCACTATGGAAGTATATAACACAACACTCCTGTCAGGGTTCATCAGATTTATTGCACAGTGTAGTGATTATATATATTGTGTTGTATTGTGTAAGCCCTGTAAATATCATAAAACAACAATAAATATAATGTAAATAATTATCACACACAATGTTCATTATTTTACATGTACATGAAGATAATAATTAGATTATCATCATTTATAATATTTACACTGTCATCAAAGGGAGATAACTCTTGAATATATAAATCTTTACATATTAATTACTCCCATAATATTCATAAAAAATATATTCAAGATTAAAAACATATAAATCTAAATCTCACCATTCTATGGGAATAGGCTTTCCCACAAATTGTTAATATAGAAGTATCTACATGAATGGTGATCTGTAATTTAATACAATTTATTTAAAAATATTATCCCTTTAAAAATATATCAATTGCTCACTTTGAACAATATCATCAAATATATCTTTGATCATCATAAAAACATATAATCTGATTAACATCAAATTACTTCTGTTAAATACTTAATATTGATCTTGTAATCAATAATAAATATACATCATAAAATAACTTTCTTTCAAATTCATTCATTCACTTTAGTAAGTGCAAATGGAAATGGCTTTTGCATACTATAGGATGAACATTTAAAATATGAAATAATATTAGTAACTTACCAGAAATGGAAATCTGTCCAAAGTCAAGAATGTCTTTTTTTAATATATATATAGTCTGGTCAAATCAACCTCTGAACAAAGAATACTCAGAATAAAGCGGGAAAACTCCAACCCAGTCAATAAAACCAATAGAATCAGACCTTTCAAATTAATAACCAATAAAAACCAAAAATAACAATAACCACTTCCAAAACACCTGACCAATGCCCTTAGGTAATATATAAGTATGTACAGGTAAGGGAGAACTAAGGGGTGGATCTAGGTTTTGAATAACAAATTTAAATAAAAGTTAAAAAATATATTCTGGCAAGTTCTGTTACTTTATTTTAAACAAATCCAACACTATTACAAATATGTATAATATATTCTTTAATTTATTTATATATAGGGTAATTATTTTATTAAAGTTTGTTGAGTGTTCTGTAAGGCTTATAATATTTGCATGTCCTGCTTATCCCGACTCAATGGCCTGCGTCCTATGGAACAGTCTGTCGAAATATATCTTAACAGGTGCAAGAGACGATATCTTTATTAAAGTATGCTTTCCAATTTTTTTCCCCATAATAATTAGCAGGTTATAAAAAGTAAAATTTCAAGTTTGGTCAGGGCTAGTGATTTTATGGTCAGGGCTAGTAAAAATTATGGGAAGTAGCCCGACTGGTCTAGTGCTCATAAAAGTTAATGTCAAACCCTGATGTGCTTCTGACTTTTTAATTTATATTAATTGTGTTCCTACTCTATCCTGAAAGATGTACATGATGTAAGCAAGAAAGTAAAGTTAGAAGTAAAAACCTCTCTGCTTCAAATTGCTGTACTGTTTTGGGGCTTCTACCCCAGTCCTTGAGTTTCCTGAACCACTACCTCTGAAAATCGAACCAAAAAAAAATGTTATGGTTTTTATGTCTCTGAAATCAAAGACAAAGCATAATGATGTGCTAACTTACTATAAAACTGTACAAAAAGATTAAACATAAATTATAATGGTAATTCTTTGCATACTCCTTAGAGAGAATTTTCAATGATCATAAAAATGATAAATGTGAGGGCCTGTCTCGAGACACAGTTAGATTATTCTAACTTACATACTCCTTGAATTATTATCAGAATTTTAGGATTTATGAAAGTCATGAGTACATGCTTCCTACATCAAGACAAATCTTACCAATCTCACAGATAGTCATGAATTAATTAAGCATTGAATCATTATGTTTTGAAAGTTAGTCTCATAACTGCAACTGCACAGTGTGTGCAAACAAATTGAGTAATGCTTCAATGCTTATATTTACATTCTTTGCCTTGACAGTGAAATTTTATGTAATTTATACTTCAAAATCCTTGTATTATCCTTCAGGTAAGTTACAATTAATGGAAGAGTGCAACAGCTTCTATTAAATGTGTGAGTGAATTTTGATTTTCGCTTATGATGTTGCACTTCCAAGGCATTCAACGGGTATCGGGTGGTTACGTTCCGATTCTGTGTTCGACCCGCGTGGTTACGACCCAAGTGGTTTCGACCTACTCTAGATAGATATATATCCCTACATGTCAGTACCTGAGTACAGGGGTACACACTGTGCGGTAAACAAATGGATATTCGGTAGCTGTATATTGCATGGCTTCAGAAATGTAAGTGTCGTTGTTTCCTTATGTGTAGTCAGATGGCTTCCTAACATTTTTTTTCTACTATCGCGGAGCATGGATGTTATAATTTGATTTAGTAATGAATTATATTTGAACAGTTTTCCATAAAAATTAATCAAATACTGCTTCAAATGTACCGTCATCACATATGCACTGTAGACGAAAAAATAAAATGTAAAACTTTTGAAAGTGTTAATTAATTTCGTTCCGAAGCAAATAATTGTTAATTAAAAGCAAATAATTGTTAATTAATTGCTTTGGAACGAAACCACTCGGGTCGAACATGGATTGGTGTCGAAACCACGCGGGTCGAACAAGTAATCGGAACGTAACCACCCGCATTCATTCAACGTTTGCGACATCAAAATAAAATGCATACTTTAACCTTTTGACCCAGCCCACTTTCCATGTCATATAGTGCTTTGAAAGCTGTAGCTTACCACATACCTTATAAGCAAAATACATGTAAAATGTAAATATAAAAGATTAACATTGATTTTTTAAATGTGGTAATTAGTTTATAATTCTGAACATGTGAATGTGTCAGAGTCAGAGCTCACAGTCACAATTATTGAGCTTTAAACATATCATTACTATTATTTTATTTTTCTTCCTTTCAAGTTAATTTGTATGAAAGTTGTGTGTACTACTATCATCATCACTGATATTAGTTCAAAAATTAGAAATAAATACATTACTTACCTACTTACTTACTACCTTCAATTCAGTGACCTTAGGAATGAAAAAAGGACATTCTTTTTTTCAATTTATACAGTCTTGGCTGTATGTAACTAATATCTAAAACACTCGGCGTAAAATGGAAACATAATACTATAGATATATAATTATTTAACACCACTTGGAGGTAAAGTGGGATATTACTAAGGGCAACATGGCGATGAAAAACAGTGAAAAATTTCAATTTGCTCAAACTTGTGGCATTTCAGGCACATTTTACCTGCTATCTTTTCTTTGATAATCATATCGTGGGTACTTATTTGTAATTGTTCGTATATACGTCTATTAAAATAGGCTATATATCAACTTATCTGTTTTAAGTTCCACTTCCAGAAGATCGTGCAGTCTGCAATCGCCATTTTGTTGCTATTTTTACTCTAGAGATCATGTGACTCGTCCGAAGATGAATTACCCATTCACTGCCTCCGCCACATCAGCCCACGCCTTTTCTTTGGCTGCTTTCCCCCCGAATCCGCCCTTAAATTTTCCGAACAGTACCCCCTCCATCGCATGTATTTCTTCAACCAGAATCTTTTTCTCCAGCTCAGTCCAATTCGGTCTTTTTTTCAAGAGAGAGGCGGGTGCGGATCCAGTTGAACAGTTATAATTGTTATTAGCGATTTCCATAGCTATCTCGTAGTCTGATGCCATGTTTGATAATATTGCAGACGGTCTCTACATGTGACGTCATTGATTGTTACGATATCAATATGTAAATATACATGCTATCTTATATTTCGTAATAAAACAAATGAAAACAATAAAGTGAAAGTAGAATTTATTATGTTCATGGCCGCTTACAACTTTAAAAACAATTTGAGATTTTTCTCAAATCTCAGCTCACGTGAGACGAATCTCAGAAATGTTGGTGGCACGGTGTTTTAGGAAAATCTCAGGTGAGGCATAAATCTAAGATTTGAGGTTGAGATTTGAGCTGAGATTTTTATATGTTGGTGGCCCCGAAGCCTGGTGCTAACTCGCTTTTCCAGGTCTTCATATTTTTTAGGGTGTTCCTGTCTGTAATAAAAGAACGAACGAAACATAAAGTATCTAAACGAACGAACATACCAAGACCTACTCTCCTAAATAAAAGAAAAAAAATAAGATTGATTTATTCAAGTCTACCAACAAGCGTGAATCTGTTTCAAACTAGAAATCTGACCAGTCAGCAAGGGCCCCGCCGAGGGGTAGAAATCACAGGCACTTGTTTCGGTAATAAATTTTTAACCCATAGTATAGTAATAACACAAGGTATCTAACTCCGAATTACACGGAGTACCCCCCTCCCCCAGAATCGCACTCATTTACACTTTCAGAGGAAATACACTGACAAACTGTTTATACCTATGTTTTCTACGATAATTTATCTACACAACCATATATGGCATGCTTGTCTTTATTTTCTTTAGTCTCCGTAAACAGCGTCAAAACTCTGCTCGCCATGTGGAAAAGTCGAATTTAACCATGAAATGGTATGTGCTAATCCCGCACAGAGAACAAAATTAAAAAATGAGTGGGTTTAAAAATTCAATTCCAGTGTTTAAATATTGCATGAGTAAGTAGAACTTGTTTACGTCTGATTTTCCCTGAAAACATTACAATGTTTATCCGATGTAATTCTAGAAACAGATTTTTAGCCAATCAAAATCTCTGTGCGGGATTAGCACATACCATTTCATGGTTGAATTCGACTTTTCCACAAGGCGAGCAGAGTTTTGACGCTGTTTACGGAGACTAAAGAAAATAAAGACAAGCATGCCATATATGGTTGTGTAGATAAATTATCCTAGAAAACATAGGTATAAACAGTTCGTCAGTGTATTTCCTCTGAAAGTGTAAATGAGTGCGATTCTGGGGGAGGGGGGTACTCCGTGTAATTCGGAGTTAGATACCTTGTGTTATTACTATACTATGGGTTAAAAATTTATTACCGAAACAAGTGCCTGTGGTAGAAATATAAGGGTGTAGATTACGGGATGAGAATTTTACTTGATTACAAAAAATTTAAAAATATATAAAGAAGAATAAGCAACAGCAACTGCTAAATATTCCTTCAGCCTGTAAATAGTATCCTTGTATTTACATAAGGCAGTAAAAACATCATATCTATAATAACTCAATTAAATGTATATTTCAAGAAGAATGAAGCATGTGTTTTCTAAAATGCCAGTCTTCAGTGAATGCAAATATCACCCAGGCTTGACCTTAACTTCAAAACAAACATCAGTAACTGTTGCAGACAAAGGTGTTAATTAATCTTAAAGTGACAGAAACACAACCCTCTAAACTTTTCTGGGACCAGCAAGATAATTAATCCCAGGGGATTAATTATACTGCTCTCTCAACCTTTTCTTCTAAATTTACAACAAGAACTTTTTCAGCAATGATAGAATGAGGTTATTATCTGATTACCTCTTAAAATAAATAGTATTCTTGAATTTACATAAGGCAGAAAAAAGAAAAAAAAAAGAAAATAATTATAAAAAAGATATCTTTATCTATATCTTGTTTTTAGAATTCAATAAAATCATAAATAACTCATTGTGTATTTTACCAAAATAAAGTATGAACATAATTCAAATCCACATATCAGAGAATGTAAACATCATTCAGAATTGACCTTAACTTCAAAACAAACTTCATTTGCAGACAGAGGTGTTAATTAATCTCAATGTGACAGATAAAGATAAATGCTTTGGATTTTCTTGAAGAGAAAAGTTAATTAATCCCAAGAGACTCATTGCAGCCTTTCATAGTTTACAATAGGAACATTCTCAGCAGTTATCTCTCTTTGCTGATTCACTCTTATATAAAGTTAAGGAATCTACCCCACCACCCCAGCTCCAAACCGGATGACATAGAGAACCAAACTTAGCATCAAAATATGTCTTACTGCCTATTCAACCAACATACCAAATTTGAACTTAATTGGTCAACCCTAAAAAAAGTTATTAGAAAAAAAACAGAAAATTTGTGGACGGAAGAATGACAGACGGACAGACAGACGGACAGACAGACAGAGTGATTACTATAGGGCACCCGCAAATCCTTGCGGGGCCCTAATTAATGATTGAAGAATCTTTTTTTCTGTTTTATTTATTATATCACTCTATATTTTTTCGTATCAAAGGTGGAACATGTACAGTTTTAATACATTTAACCTATGAAAACAAAATATACCTGAATGTTATAAGGCGGGGATCCTCTTCACTGGACTGTTGTGTGAAGCCCCGTTTTGCCATTTTCCTTTTTAAAAAAAAAGAAAAAAGAATACAAATTGAAAAAAAAAAGGTTTACAATTGAAGCAAATTAATGAGAGAGAGAGAGAGAGAGTTTTCTTTAGAATTTACCTTTGAGTTAAAATTATTGAGTCCTCTGACTCGCTCAGTTTTCTCTTTTCCCCCCTTTTTACTGGCTCGTCATATCTTGGGTCAATCAGTTGGAGGTCTTTGGGGGAATTCCTAGTTAAACAGAAATTTAAAGATATTTGGTAATAGAAAATATAGCAAATTTATAATGATTGGAAATAAAACGAATGAACAACTACACACCTTAACTCTCGATCCCCGCCTACATTTTACATCCATTTAATTCAATACTAATTGTGATTTGACCATAAAATCTCCGGTTAATGCAAAGAAGGGTTCAATGCCAATGGTAATTGATTAATAATTTTGATACAAGTGTTAAATAGTTACTTTTGTTATCAGCTGTTTTTATAGAGGGTAGACGGCGTTTTCACGCTTGAACGCTTAAGCATATTTCAAAATATTCTTGGATATGGATAAAAGTTCCTTAATCTTTTGGGTATACGCACATGAAATTAAACAAATGTAATTGATTAAATACACTTTTCGAGAAAAATTAGAGTTATTTCTCTTTGTTTTCCCTACTAAGTAATGTTTTATGAATATTCATGTCAATATCTAAAGAAATATGAAAATTCATTCAACTGTATTAACTGCTGTAAATTGACTTGGAGGTAGTCGGAGAACAAAACTATCGTTCGCAGTTCTTTGTAATTTTTAAATGAGTTATGAATTTTAAGAAGACGAACTTACCCCGAATCAAACACCACCTCAAACTCCTTTACTAAATCTAACCACTCCTAGAAATCTCCAAATGTCCTTGAAGGCGTTGAAGTAAAGAACGCTTCAGCCATCTCGTGTCTTTTGAAGGTTTTCTTTTTCCTCTAAAGTAAGTGATTTATCCATCCTATTTATATTCCAGGGAGGGGGAGAGGGCTTTAGGATTTTCAATACATTTGTGAATTGAAAAAAGAGGTTGTGTGCAAAATAAAAAAAAACCGGTCAAATATCTCAATTGGTTTTAATTTAATTTAAAACGTGGTCTCATTTTCTGAACTTTTAAAAAATACCGTGTTATGACCGCGCGCGCGTTTTCTTTAATTATTCAATGCATCTTAATGTTATGTGTTTCTTCGCTAATATTCTATAATTCATTCTACACGTGAGGTAGTACAAAATCATATATGTTTCTATCCTTATGTTTTATAATTATTCAATACATTGTATATTATATTATTTTTCCCATTAAGGCGCCTCAATAAACAGCATGAAAAATAAGGGGGAAAAAAGAACACATACAAATGTATACTCGTTTAGCACAGAAAGAAAAACACATTTTTTCAAGCAAAAAGTTATACATGTTGTTGAAAATCGACTTTTTACTTTTAATTTGATTAATTTTGACACAAAATTGTTACTATGTGGTGATAATGTTTTACCTTTGTAAACTAATATAAACATTTTTACAACTGTTCACAAATTTACAGATGAAACTTGTAGATTTTATTAGCTACTGTACAAGTTATATCTATTGTTTATTGTCAAGCATGGCATTTGGTAATTAATATAAGTAATTGTTTGATATCTTGTATGACGTTTTGTAATTAATTTTTAAGAGATCTAGAGGGACTAGTAAGTTTCAAGAACTTGTTCCCAATAATTTTTGACTTCATCAACAAAATATGTTCAAAACAAACAGAGCCGAGGCGGGTTTTTTAAATTAGAAAATATTGTGCGCGTTTTCTGTAAGTATTCGAATGCGTTTTCATGCTAATATTCTATAATTACACCTTTGTAAAGTTGAATTGCCATGGCACAACTTGATCACCGAAGCGATTTTTTTTAGTACAATGTACCTTCAAGAAAATATCGCGCGCATTTTCTGTAATTACCGAAGCGATTTTTTTTTTTAAAGTTCAGTTAACCTTTTAGGAAATACCGCGTGATGATGACCGCGCGCGCGTTTTCTGTAATTATTCGCATGCGTTGTCACGCTAATATTCTATAATTACATCTGTGTAAAGTTAAATTGCTATGTTACGACTTGATTACCGAAGCGATTTTAAAAAAAAAAAAATACAATACACCTTCAAGAAAATACCACGTGCGCTTTCTGTAATTACTGGAGCTATTTTTTTTTTTAAAGTTCAGTTCACCTTTTAGAAAATACCGCGCTCGTTTTCTGTAGTTACATGTATTCGTATGTGTTGCTATGAGAATATTCTATAATTATCCTGAGTTTGATTTTCCTTTAAATTGACGAAATCCTAGCTATTTCACACCATTTTAAATGACTTGTCTCATCCAAACAGTCATTCACAAAAGATCACTGAAGCAAGTTTT